TCTTTTTCTGAAAGAGATTGCTTATGTTTAGCAAGGATGCATTAAATTGATCAAAAGTGACACTAACAGTCTTACTGATCCCAAACTTACAATGTGTTCATGTAATCCTGTTGTTCATTTAAATTAAAGCAGAACATGTTAATCTGAGCGTTCAGTGATATTGTGCAAGTTTACATTTTTATTTGCTGAATTATTGACATTCACCATGAATTATATGTAGTATAGATTATTTGAGCATTGATGAAATGTTATTTTAAGGAAAGCTGTATCACTGATCAACAACGTCCCCAGGAGCAGGGTGGAGGAGCCGGTGTGCGTGTCAGCCAAGCTGCAAACAATAACCACCCAAAAGAGGACGCCAGTCTGAGTTTTCCCATCTGAGCTCACTATATCCTGCTTTGCCCAGATAATCAAGAGCACACCTCCTCAAAAGCTAAACGTTTCGTAGAAAAAAGGATGAGTAGCTAGTCGTACTTTGTCTCCCGCTCTCCTACTCTTTATGGTGGAGTGTTTAGATGTTGAGAAGGAAGGAAATTCCACTGGATTGATAAGAATCCAGAAAACATTCGGCCTCAGTTGGCAACGGCGATAAAGAGTAATGCTAACAGACAGATGTGAGTGCAATGACGCGTCTGTTGCTGTTAACTGAAACCACTGGAGTAGACTCTAAACAGGAAGATGAAAAAACAAGAGTCACGCTGCCCACGTGTTTACATTCCACATGCGGACTCGAGCGGAGACATAAACCGCCCGAACCCGATGATTCAGACTCGTGCGCACACTGAGAGAGTTAGTGTGGGAAAGGTCAACCACAAATTTGAGTGTGCTGAAATACTACTCTAGCGCTTCACTGGGCGGGATGTTTGGAGCAGCTCTGCTAGAATTCCTAATAGACATATTGCAACACACACAACTGTTTTTCATTGCCATATCAGGGATGTTTGTTAAAATGTGACCTCTTTCTCTGTTTTAGATGAGGTCGTGTCACAAGAGGGAAAAGACGGATCGGCAGAGAAGATTAAGAAGCGTGTGAAGACACCTTATTCTTTGAAAAGGTGGCGTCCTTCTACATGGGTCGTCTCTACAGAAACGCTGGACGGAGAGGTGAATAACAACGGGCACAGCCAGAAGATGGGGACGGCAGTCTCTGGAGGTGGTCACCCAAGTTCTGGCCAATCAAAATCCAGCATCGCTGTGTTCCTGGTCAGCGGTGGAACTGCAACCGCCACTCTAACCTCCGACCCGCCAGATATGACCTGCCTGTGAACTCTCATCTCCGCTTTTCCTCTGAGGACGAGCCCAGATCAGACTTTGAACACAGGAGGGGTTTGTCTATGCTATCGTGCTCCAAGAACTGATCCAGCTGATGACCGAAAAGAGAGTTTTTGGAAAGCAGACTCTTGAAGGGACGTAATTTGGCAAGCACTTAACTTTGTCGAACTTATCCAACTTGTTTTGAAGAAATCGCTTTAAACCGAACCCAGCTATGCAGCAACATTGGTATAAAATGCTTCCATTTGTTTTTTTTTGTTTTGTTTTTTTCAATCAAGTATGATTCTTGTATGGTTGTTCTTTCATTTGTTGCACTTTTTTTTGTAAGTAATCTTAATCACAGATCCTCCGACCATGATAAAGACTGGTCTTAAAACTGAAAGACGTAAACGACAATGTGTTGATTTAACAATCATTGTAGATTGGGCGAAATTGAAATCATGTCCATCTAAAAAAGGTATCCAAGATTAAAAAAAAAAAAAAAAGCAGTGGTCTTTAAGACAGGGTTGACTGCATCTCTAATACCTTTTAGCCCACAATACATTCATATGTTTTAAATTTGTTGTACGTATCTGTGTAGTCAGTTTTTTGTATCATATTTTGAAATGTGCAATAGACTTTAGCTTTGAGGTGCTCCATAAGACAATTTCATTTTGCCGCTTTTGTTTGTTTCTTGTCTTTAGTTTATTATCTTGAAGCGCTGCTCTTAGCAGTGGCAATCCTGTGTCCATTCGGCTACCCTGACTGCTTTTGAGAAACATTGAAACTTCTTACAAATGACAATCCTACACCTTTTCATCAATCCCCATCACTCATGAAACGTTAAGTAAATGGAAAATCTTGGGGTGTTTGCTTTAATTACTGGAAGTTCATAACAGACAACTTCTCACAAGCTTCAACGAGGACAGTAGGTTTTTTCTGTTACACTACAAGTCAGGCATCAACCTTGACTGTTTGCTGGAAATCATGCTCTCTGAAGACACTGAATAATCAAGTCCCTCTCTGCACATGCTCAGTGCAGTTTTACCTTTGTGAGAGTTTCTGCTTTACGGTAACGGAGCTCCTCGGATCACAGCTGAAAAGGCATCAGTCAAACGAGACTTTTCACTTCCCATGTCTGCCAGGACAATGGACGTTTGCTCGGTGTGCTTCAGAAAGCGAACATACATACGACCTGAACAAAATATATACAGTATGTACAGACTGAAGCTCACAGCTACTTTAGTTCGGTTTTAGCTTCTGGTTAAGATAAGCTGACATGATTAGTGTACATTAAGAAATCATGATTTTATCCATTTTAGCTGTTTCTGAAGTTATTTTTTTTTTCTCTTTATTTTTTTAAATGTTTAATTTATGTAGTATCCAGGGCCATCTTCATTCTCTGGGTTTATTATTCTCATGAAATCGAATTGGTAAGTTGTTTATAATCATTTAAAATTATCTTATTTCAATGATACTTTCAATCAAATACATCAGAAATGCATGTAGTTTCACCCTTCTTTTGCAAGTCAATAATGTACAGTTGACGAGGGATTGAGCCTTTTTTGGTGCCACTAGAAATACAGTCGTAAAAGAACGGCATCCTCATTTTGAAATCATCTACGAGAGCAAATGATGTTTGCAAAAATGGCTGCCCACTGCTCCGGGTGTGTGTTCACGGTGTGTGTGTGTTCACTGCTGTGTGTGTGCACTTTGGATGGGTTAAATGCAGAGCACTAATTCCAAGTATGGGTCACCATACTTGGCCACATGTCACGTCACGTCACGTCACGTCACTTTATTTGATCCTACAACTGCTGCCTTTTGTGGAAAACAAAGGACATGAGCCATTCAAATAATTATTCCCTCATATAGCCAGGCCCTGCTTCCCTAGAAATACCAGGAAAACCAAAGATAGCACATGTTTGATCAAGAGTGTGGGGATTAACCGTGATTTGGCACACACGTTATCTTTGGACTTTGTCCAGTGCAGAGTGGGGAACTTTCAAAAAGTCATCTGATATGTCCCTTCCATTGGATTTTTCTTTCAGAAACCAGATGATACAGTGCAGTTTAGTTTCTCATGCCCTCTTTTCTGAACCAATCAGTGCTTCAGTCTGGCTTTTGTATATGTTTGTAATATAGGCTAACCTCTGTGGTGTAAATATACAGTGCATTTGTATGCACATTTACAGACTCATCATCTGTTGCTTTGGGACCAAGAACAACGCTACATCTGTTAGATTTATCTGAAGATAAACACAGTAACGTTTGACTGTTTTCAGCTAGATACGTCAGAATGCTGGAGTCAGAAGATTGTGAACTGAAATGAGAAATAATAGCCTAACAAAAGACTAAACAAACCTCCAGTGCTAATTTGAATAAAAAGAACAAACGTTTGATTTGGACCAAAGCGTTGAAGCTAAAACGTTAATGAAGCTGAGTCATTGGAAGTGTAGTTTGATCAGGACTGTCCATCTGCTACATGTTAATAATGCAAGATGTTTACACCAGAGCCTTTGTCCAGTTTTACAGCACATTGTTGAATACCAAATCATTTATAGATACTACATGCCTTGTTTATTCTTGAAGCAGGCCTCGAGAAGTCAGACTTTTTTTAATTCAGTCAAGTTGCAGGAGTGTTTTAACTAAACCAAGTCGTACTCTTGAGTTTAAAGTGAGTCCGTTACTGAATCCTACATCGATTGGAACTCACTCGCAAAACCAAACATGAAAATGACAAATGGCTAACAACGTGTCCCCTAAAACACAAACTTTGAGTATCAGCTGTATTTTGGGGTGCAAATGAGCGAATGAATGAAGGGTCTGTGTTGACAAGCTGCTTTTTGTCTTTTTACTTTTGAGTTCATATTGAAGCTGAAGTCTTCATTTGGCCCCTGCCTAGATGGATGTTCAAAAAAAAAAAAAAAAAAAAAAGCAAAGCCACTGACGTTTTCTATTACAGCTTGTAAAGTGAGCACTTTGAGAAAAAAAAAGAACAAATGATAACTTGTGCTTTTAGTCTATTCAGAAAATGTTTTAAAATGCCATTTAGAAAATAAAGCGTGCTGTACAACCCGGCATTACTGAGTTGATTAAAGATTATATTAATGAAAACCTGTTTATGATGTTTACTTGTAATTTGTTTCCTCTTAACTGGTAGAAAACGTACAATTTTTAGGATCGTTTATAAAGTTCTTGCACTGAACTTTAATTGTATTAAGTGGCCACATGAGGGTGGTAAAGGCAACCACAATACCATGACCAAAATCATGTGGCCCCACACAACAGAGTTTCCATTCAGGTAACAGTGCAAATCATTCAGATAATAGTTTCACTTTGCCGTATGTACGCATGGATTGATCTTCTGTATTTAATTTGGTGTTTAAACACACACAAATACATAACATGGTATTAGTGAGCATATGAGATTTACTTCTCTTAAAGAAACTAACTTTGGGGAGGGGAAAGGGGAGTGATAATTTAAGAATGAATGCATATTTATTATACTTTTTACACAAATGTGACCACTGACCATGATTAATGAGACAGAAAATACATTAACAAGAGAGTTTAATTATCACATAATTATCATCTTCTTTGCGAAACGGTTCTTCATAATAACACTACGTGCATTATAAATCAACTTTACGGAATCAAAGAATCCACCTCCTAGCCAATCAGAAGTTGAGAGGGGTGAGAGAACAGCCAATCAGAGTGGAAGAGGCAGAGCTCTGGATCGAGTTCGCGGTGCGTGGCTCTGACTCTCTCAGTTTACTTGAGCTCGAGAAACGGTTCGGCTACGCCAGCCCGAGAGCAGAAAACAGACTTTACATGGCGTGACAAGGGCACCGAAGAGCATTAACCACCGCAGACTGCCTTAAACGTACGTTCTACGTGTTTATATTGAGTTTTGTGTCATTTCCCGGCGAGCAAAATGTCTCAAAGGGTTCGCAAAAACGGATCTCCGACGTCTAACTGCAGCGGAGTGACCGCGGGAAACCCGAGCGGATCCCCGGGGATCAGCGCCGCTGGAGTGAGTTTACTGGGTCGCCTGCTGCCCATGAAAGCCACGGTTCCCTTCCAGCTGAAAACGCAGACACCGCACCCTCTACAGACACGGACAGTCCTCTCCACCGGTAACGGTAAATGCCGCAGCCGGAGCCCCACGCGATCCCTCTCCTCCTGTGCCTCAAACGTTTCTGCAGCCACGTCCACTTCCTCTGCGACGTGCTCACAGTTCATCACAGCCACAGCTGTTTGCTCCGCTCCCTCCTCATCTTCTTCTTCTTCATCTTCTTCATCATCTTCATCCTCATCCAGAGCTAGCCCCATTATCGCTGGGCACGCGTCAAACCCCAGAGCGTCCCACGCGCAGGTACCTGTGCCAACCTCGTCATCACCCTACACAGGTGTGCACCTGAGCCCCCAGTGCTGCTCCCCCTCTCAGCAGATCAGCTGCAGCTCGGACACTTCCGCCCTTACCGCTCATCTATCAGCCTCTCCGTCTTCACCCTCGTCGCTGTGGTCTTGCGGTCACAGGGCCAAACCCCTCCTGACCCCTGAACATGACAGACTGTCTCCAGAGAGGCTCAGTCCCAGCTCACCTGTCTGCACAGGTAAATCTACAGTCTAAAGCAGTTGATTTTATAGGAGGCCAGACCTGATGGGCCTGATGTGTTTATTTGACATCACTGTTGTAACTTGTAAACACACATACAGTCCATGTGGTTTGTGGGTGTTACATCCTCTTTCTGGAGACTTTCTGAAAGTGTCGTAGTAGAACGGTTTACTAGGTTAATAACCTAATAATGTCACTGTCATATTGTGTAAGATGCAATAGATGCTCATGAGGCTCATTGCATTACAACTAATTGCATTAAAATATGTTTCATATCATATGATTTAGAACAGCGACCTGTTTCACTAGAACCCCCCTCCCCCCATATAGGCTGAAATATTTACATTTTTAGCAATTTAATTCAGTTACATTATTTTAATACATTAAAAAAAAGAATAATCTAATTCAATCATTTTAATTCATTTCTCATAATTCCTTTTATTTTTATACATTAATTTTTGTTGTTTTTAACCCATAAAATTAAATAAATTATGTTTAATGAATCCTTCATATTTAATTTAATTTCTATGTATTACAGAAACGCTATTCTAAAATCTAAAAATGTTATTAAATATTTAAAAAATTAATAAAATTAAATATGGAATGTTTTTTATAATTGTATTAAAATAATCTGTATTTTGATACATAAAAATTAAATTAAAAACAATAATTTTATTCATCCTATATACCACAACTGTACATACAAATGTTGTCTTATTTCATATATAATGTGTGTGTGTGTGTGTGTGTGTGTAGTTTAGTCACATGTCTTATTTTTTATTATCTGTGTGTTGTTGTTTTCTCTGTGTACTGGAAGCTTCTGTCACCAGAACAAGTTCCTTGTTTGTGCAAACATACTTGGCAATAAAGCTCATTCTGATTCTGATTCTAAGGCCCCCTTTGAAGTTTTCTAAGGCCCCCTAGTTGGCCCCAGGCCCCTGTTTGAGAACCCCTGAATTAGAATACATATTGGTTGCTGGGGGCAAATGATAAATGGTCAACATAACGCTTTATATTAACTTTAAGAGGCCATTAACAAACATTATGGGCACATGTATAATCCAGTCAACTAAAGATTCTTATGAGCTAAAGGTTAATTTGTTAACAAATATAAAGCCGGTTAATGAAGGCAAAGCAGCCAGTACATGTCCAGCATACATAGAAACTTCACAAAGCATCCCAAGATGCACCTCATGAAGCTGGCAGAATCCAGGTAAATGGTGGCTTCATTAAATAAGCTTAAATGCAAACGAGTTTTGGTTTTATTTAATTCCCATGTATTTGTCTTTCTATATTTCGCAGTTTTTATGACTATATAGTATTCAAAACTGTGGATGAAGTATTAATGGATGGGTGTCTGCAGATGTTTGACTATTTGCTGCCTATACTTGAAGCTTCATTATGTATCAGACTGTTTGAATTCTCACTGATGTACTGTATAACTAACTAGTGATATGTTAAGCATTATATCAGGTAACAGGAATCGTTGGTGTTTGCTGCAGAGTATAATGTCTCATTCATAAAATAGCTTGTGGGGAGCCATGCTGAGAGAGGGCCGGTCTGGCCGCTGTTGTTTGAGGTGCTGCTTCAGAGGCTTATCTCTATTGCTGACTGGTAAGAATGCAGATGTTTGGTGGCCAGTCGCTGGTTTGGCCCTTTGACTCTCAAAGATTTTATCAGTTTGCCAGCAAGTGTTGCACACTGTGTTTCGGTTACTGTAACTGTTTGAACTGGCATTGTGACCGGTACCACATGTTTTCAGAAAATGCAATTTCCGCACAAAGGGAACACATTTACACATTTTTTCCACTTTTTACTTGCATATATTCAGTCAGTCAGGCCCAGAATCTGCTGCATTTTTAGGGCGCACTCACAAATCGCGTCTGACACACCAGGATTTTTTTGACAGCAGCCCTATATATTTTAAAGTAATTGCTGGTTGAAATGTAAGCAGCCACTGATCGTGAGGTTATCTGCCCCAAAAAAGACGCAAAGAGGGAAAGGTAGTGGTTGTTGGGTTGGGAGTGTCATCCTTTGTGTCTTGGCCAAGGCCCAGTACTCGTTAGTTTTAGTAAATTACCCATGATTCTCTTGGAGCCTCCTCAAACAGACTCTGAGGTCATGTGTATGTCTTAGTTATGTTTCTGTGCTAGTCCAATAATGACATGATCTGTCTGAACAAGAGGAAAATTGATCTTGGGCCCACATTTCACTCCGGGTCAGAGATTCATATGCCTGTTGGAATGCCCTTGTGATTACTGTTTTTAGTCTCCTGAGCCATGCCTCCCTTTTTCACTGTGTCCTACTGAAAACACTCCGTTCTGGTATGTCCAGTCATTTTCCAGATCACCAGACTTGCCTAAGATCCCATGAACATCGAAACACACGAAAGGGACAGAAAAGAGATGGAGGAAATTGGGAATTGGGAGATATCTTGTCTAGCCATGTGCAAAACTGTATATTTTCACAACTCACTGTGCTAGTAACCAGTCAAGTTTGATTGAACAACTTGTCAAATTAATCAGACTTAGATAAGCTTCTGGTTCACCTGACCTGATCAGATGCATTTTAGGGAATGTTCACTTAGGACAAGGGATATTAAAATTCTGGCTGATACCAGTAATACGATCATGATTTTCATGTAATGGCATAAACCGTTAAATAGCTGATATAAAAATGATATATAATTTTATCTAAATAAATCAAGAGTAAAACAAAAATCAGTTGTTTAGATGCTGTATGTGATTTTAGGCATTACTACATTATAATGTACAGTATGAAAAATGGATATTCATGAAATTCGCCAAATATTACATTTAACAGTGTTAATAAATTCTTATTCGTAAATAATGTTTTTAAAGAGTAACTTTACCCAAAAATGAAAAATCTGTCATAATTTACTCACCTTCATGCTGTTTCAAACACATGAGAAAAATTAAGACTTTTGTTCATCTTTGAAACACAAATGAAAATATATTTAGTTAAACCTGAGAGAAGTCCATTCCACCAAAACTTGGATGCTTCAAAAAGTTTATATAGACATTAGGGATGCACCGATACCACTTTTTCCAGTACTCGCCCGATACCGATACTTTTATTTTTGGTACTTGCCGATACCGAGTACCGATACCAATATTTTTATTGCATGTGTACATTTTTAAAAGATTGGGTACAGAAACCAAAAGAGTATGTATAATGTTAGTTGGTTAACTTCATTTATCAAATAGATACAGTCAAACCAAAATTTATTCTGACACCATCAACATTTCTCACATTATCAGTTTATTCGCTATAGTTTAGAAAATGGTAATAAAATATGACAAGAACTCAGAGTTAAACTGTGTCAGAACAAATTCAGCTTGATAATGTTAATAACTTTGATAGAAAGGTATGTAATAGATTACAATCAACCAAAAATTATTCAGACAACTGTTAGTATGACAGTATTTACACAACTATCAATATTTAGTCGGGCAGCCCTTAGCCTTAATGACAGCCTGTAGTCTCCTGGGCATGCTGTCATCCAGCTTCATGCAAACCTCAACTTCAGTGTTTTTTCCCAGACTCGGTCTGAATCATTTTTGGTCCCAAATTTGTATCAATTTTACTGGTAGTTCACTGTATGAAGAATTTTTGGGTATGATTTGTCACAGTTTACTTTATTTTGCTATCCTCACTTTACATAAAT